TTCCTTATAAATTACCTTAAGAAATATTCTTTTATGGTGTGGACAAAGATAAAGTGACAACTACTACCTTACATCTTACAACATTCGAAATAACCTTATTCATAGTTTGCTTGGCTGCTGCATATCAGTTACATGTTCTATTTTTATTATGACCGACACCTTGCCCCCTGAGTACGTGTCCTCAACGCACGCGTATACGTTTACTTTCTCTTGTCTGCTTACCTCCTCATAGAGGTATACTGTCCCATGTCTACCAGTCTTAACACACATCTCAGGAGGAAAACTTGAAAAAACGGAGGCCTAGCATACCATATTGGATTGTGGACATACTTTCTAATGATTACGAGTAGTCGAGTCTGAGAGTTCGCCAACCTCCGAGGCATTCCACATATTGTTTTGGCATTATTTGGAATAGAAGCGTGAAATTTTTTCAGGAGATCAACATAGCGCATCATATTTATTATTAAAACTTCTTTCTCTGCATGTTTGCGTTTGACTAAGCCTCTACCTGAAGGAAGTGTCGACTCCCTGTTACTATGTTAAGCCCACATAACTTATTCTAGCTTCTGGACAGGCCAACTTATCCATTTTTCTTCAGTCATGTTTTGACCTTGTTAATTATTTGCTTATCAATCCTGACTTTATATGAGTGCATGTGTGTACACTTGTTATCCTACTCATCACATGTCCGTAGCTTATTTTTGTGTGACTATAAATATTGACCAATGTTTGATTAAATCGAGTTGGCTTACACGCCTTCTCCACTGCGCATCATTTCGCTTCTTTCCGTTTCTCCCATCTGTTTCGCTCTCCCCTCTTTGTTTTGTCTCCCTGATTGCCTGTTCAAATCAATGAGTGCATGAAATATACATATTCAAAATCCATTCTCGTATTTGGCTTATTTATTTCTGTTATTCACTAACACGATTTAAGTGGATTATTACATACGAGGATAGCCGATATGTATATTTCAATAACATTCATACGATCCAATTGGAGTCAGATATACGGCCACAAAAACTAGACACGGAAGCTCCATATTGTAAATATCTATCTGAATCATCTTCATTCATGACCAATCATATGTTTACGAAATATTTAGACACAGCGTTTACGAATCTTGATGTGTTCATTGATTAATCACTTGCAAAACAGGCTTGATGAATTTGTATTCAAATAGTTACATTAGTGGTGAAAATCCTCATAGTATACTTCACTGCTAGTTCAACCTTAGGCCGAAACTGAAGTCAATCACTTACGATAACTGGTTGTAAATAATCCTAGAGATGATAAGGGGATGGAGAGCAAATCATTGACCTCAATGGGACACGAACCCGCTATCTTCTGGTCTGAAATAATATGCCTCACTCATCGAGGCAGTGAGTCACTTTCCGCGAACTGTTATGTGTTAAGAATCCAAGTCATTTAAAACTAAGAAAGGCTCCTACGCTGAATAGCATGGTTTTACATCTGTGCATATTTTTTGTTATGTATCACTTTCATTTCTTAGTTCGAACGTTTTGCTATCAGTGCAACGCTTTCTATGATGGCTATGATTTTTATCAACCAGGCTAATTATTTCACACAATAGCGCTTTGATCAGTATCCAAAAAACTTACCTAAAATCTAATCAATTGACGTTTCGCGCTCCTCAGTACTTCGTTCATCGACTTCTCACCTTGAAATGGTCTGAAGTTATGTGTACTTTGGTCGTTTAGATTTACAATCCTTCTGATGCAACAATTATAAATCACCCTAATTTTCAGGATTTTTAGAAACCTCGTAAATAATTACTGATTTCTGGGAGTGAAATATATTACGCTTTTGAATGGTTCTACCTAACTAGACAAAGCTTCTGTTATTAATGATTTTAGATTATGTTTGATGCTGATTAAAGTTGAACTTAAGCACACTAAATCCCATATCTCATGAAACGGCACTCATGATAATAGTAATTATTCTTAATGGTTCCATTCAATATTTTTGGCACAATATAGAATTCTCAACACAATGGTGAAATGCATTCAAAATATATTATCAAAATGCTAAAGACATCGGTCTTGTGGCCTAATAAATAAAGTATTTTACTTCAGATCAGGATGTCATGGGTTCAAGAACCGTAGGGATCGATGGTGCTGTCACAGAGATGCCTATTAGGAAGGTGTGAGGAAAAGAAGATATGAATCTTAGGAATTTTTTCTTCGGTGAACTTATTCGTATAGTTATTTTACGGTATTTCTAACTGTAAACTTTTGTTTAAGATCAAGTTAATAAATTTTTGTATATCGCTTATCGTTAGTTATTTATATAAGTCACGAATCTCTTTGTTATGTGATTTTTTTATTTGTGATCTAGTAATTTAAATGTACAATTACGTGAGTTGTAAATCTTATGGATAAACGTAGCATACGACCATTCATTACGGCTTTTAGTGTTCTAATTAGCGGATTACTTGTGACGAATAGTGTTAATAAACTATTGTTATTGGTTTACAGCAAAAACACAATAATGGCATTTAAGGTACACTATACAAGGATAAAAATAAGCTTAGCGACGTTCATCACATTTCTTATACGGTTTTCAGGAATTTGTAATCAGAGGAATAAGAAGAGTAGTGTGAAGATTGTTTTGTGACTCAAGTCAGGTTAGTTATTTTATTGAGTAACGTTAGATGTACTGGATCAAACTATTAGATATACTGGTTGTTTAATGCCTACAACTAGTTGGACTATGTAATTTCATATAACAGCTTCAAAGTTGGAACATTTACTTTAAACTTTACCGGGAAAATCAATCAATTATGGTGAGAACCAACTCTGTTACTTCGTATTTTAACGTTATTTATAATTGCTGTATTCTAAGAAAGATGGCCAGTGAGTAGCCGTGACTTCACCTTTAGACCCAATTTTGACGGATTTCTTCTTAGCAATGAGGTTATCGATAAGCCTGTGTAGTTTCTCACCCATTCGCTAAGAAAGAAACTTGGTTCGATTTCTCGGAAGCAGAGCAAAAAATATCCACTCAGAGGATACGATAATGGAGTTGGAGTTTATGAATAACATACTGTCAAAAACAGGTTACCCGAATTTATTAGAGCAAATGTATGCAGGAAAAAATGGGTTGGAGATATGGACCGCTCCGTAAGAAGTCCCTTTTCCTAGAGGTATAACTCAGTGGGTATGAGCCTAGTGATGCCCCGCATGATAAACTAGTAAGGGCAGTTAACAGGACATTTTATGCAGCTAATTTTGCGTTTATATTTTCTAACAGATCACAAAAGATAAGTTATCTAAATTTGTCTCTTCAATGACCATCTACCATTGCATTGCACCTGTGATGGCTATATTGGGCGTGCTAACAGATAATCCAGCCAACTAATGAATGGACATCTCCCAGCATGGTTTGAAAAGGGCCAAAGACTATGTGTAGCTCTATCTTGTCACACGTGGTCGATATCAGTCATATGGTAGATAAAAGCCAGTGATTTCATGTGACCTATCGTGTACCTATGTCGTTACTCAGTGGAGTTCCATCCCGTCTTCTACATATAGTATATATAGAAGTAGAGGGATCCGAACCTATAGCCCTAGTTTGTGTTCAGAAGAAATTAGTGACATCCCCGTCCTTTCTTTGTTTGGGTATGACTTAATTAACCTTACCGTAAATTTTTTTCACATCTCGTATTTGTTTATCTTTCTTCATCTCCATTTATATTCTCACTATCTAATTATCTACACAAAATTTGTTATGTAATTTCAAGTCCATTTTGTAATTATGATTTTAAAGTCTATTTACCCAAGTTTGACCTACTCCTATGTTAAACTCTTCACTAGAACTTTTATTATTCCTTTAACTACTAAGATACCTGTCTTACCATTTTCATATACCCATTTATATATTCCTGTCTGTTAAAGTAAAATCTAATGGTGATCTAATTGAAAACAATACCGTTCGCTTATATGTACTACAAATGGTCAATACAATGAATGTGTGAACGAAGTGCAGAAAAGATTAATCGAAACGACATATAGTCTAGGAATGGAATCATCCATGAATATAAATATAGAAATGTATTGTAGAATTTATGAATTATATAGCTCACATTTTTTAGAGTAATTTTGAATTTTATGAAATAAATAAATGAGAACTATTAAAAACAAGTAGCGATTGATAAAAAATATATTTCACACGTTACATTTTAAGCAGTAGGATAGCGAACATATTTGGGACAGAATACTTTATGTCCCTGTAATGAGAGATGTAGCTATTATAATAAATGTTCTGCTGAAGTTAGATCATTAATATTTTTTTGTGTGGAAGACGATTATTTAGGGAATAACTTAAGGCTATTGTTATGATCACAATAACTTTCTTACGTAAAGAACTTCCAGATCTGTGACACTAAAACTGCTGTTTATAAAGCTTTGCTTCAATTGTTACACAAGCGCGCCTGTGATCAACGGAACAGGACAGTCAATAAAAATATAAGGACAAACGAAGTCAACAAACCCTAGGAATACAAACAAGACTATTAGAACGATCTAATTCAATACATAGTGAATAACTAAAAATGCTCACTTATATATAAAGTAGGCGTCAATCATATTATCAAGAATAACAATGAAAACTCAATAGATAAACCGTTTATCTCAAAGAACTCTACAACAACACAGGCATTTATATGAACCTTAAATCAGCATTAAATTAAACTGTACATTTTTAAAAAATAGATCTATTAACAGCACAGTTGTTCAATCAGCTTATTTACAATTCAGTAGATAGACTATAGTACAGTGAAGTGTACAGCAAAATATTCATTCTTATTATTTATTATCGTTATTTTACTAGAAAAAGAGAAATGAAAGGAAAGAATAAAACACATGTACAGAAAAACCAAATACATTATAAACCAGTAGTGCGAAAAATATTGATTAAACATTTGATCTATTTTTAATTCTGAAGTAAGTGAAGAAGTCATTTTCGGCATCGCAGTGTACTTATTATGTTGCATTTCCCCACCATAGACAATTTATTAGGCTACGGAATAAAAAAAAGACATTTAAAGCAAAGCCAAAAAGACAAAAATAAAAATATGCTTTAGTCATTTCATTTTTTTAAATTTAAATATCTGATGTACACAGTATTTGTTGTGAATGTAATGGAAAATTTCCATTTCGGATTAACCTTCACTCGAGCTTTCCAAATTTTAAAATTTATTAAGACTTATTATTTAGTTGGTATGTTTCGCTTACTATTTTTATAAAATTAACCAACTTAGAATTGGATGTCAGGTGATTGAAGGCAATCGGCAAGAAACAAGTCCAGAGTTTTTCCTATTGTTTAACAATAAACAAAGCGAGCTTCAATATCAAGAATTTTGTATAGCGATCAGGATTCATGTTCGATTGATATTAGCTACTATCCAACGACCAGTTAATGTAATTCTAGATCATTTATCCTAATTTTACGATTTTGTCATATAACACAGAGGATGGACGATGTAACTCTGGTAGATTTAAATATTCCTCTAGTTAGTCAATAAATTTTCCAGTTTGATTAATCATCCGAAAAATCAATGAAGCTGCTAAATATGTATAGTTGTTGACAACATACTGAGAATCACATCGTATTTATTTTTCTAAGTTTATAGTACAGCTTTTTTGATGTTATCAAAGTAATTCAACTGAATAGCAAACAAGTTATCAAGAGTCGAATATCAACAATATTAAACCATAACGTCAAAATCAACAGAATACGATCAATATAAAACTTTATGATATTATGTACATAATTATTCAGTTCCAAACTAGTAGTAAATGGAAAATGGCAAAACAACGTGTATTCTAATTCTGTTCACTGTGTTGTATTGACACGACATTGTTGAGATTTACAAGATAGAACCATACTACTTATGAGTAACTAACATTTTATTGTTTAATTCCTTTTTTGCATTCGGTTGGTGAATTAAGTAGCTTTGTTGGTTGACGTGGTTTTTTATTTCTTTCGGCCTCATTGAAATGGACACTTGTTTGTGCTCAATACCGACAAATTCTTCTAAAAGTAAGACGTTAACTTAATCTAGTTTTTTATTTACTGTAGAATCACAAAATATTCAATGACAAAAGACTAAGCACTCGTCATGAGGCTTTCAGGTCATACATTCAATCCTTGACGAGGTTGTGGATGTGCGCTGTTGAGTAGTTCAATAACAGGATGAAACACTTATCCAGTGTTTCCTAGGTTTTATTGATTGTATAGTTAAAGTCATTCCATGATGTAAACTATACAAATCTCACAATAGTTTTATGGCGTTTTTTCATAATCCTAATCACCGATAAAATGATGTCTTTTTTTCTTTTAACTGAATATAGTTTGATTTCAATGAAACGCCCATACAAGGCTGTTAGCTATTGTTAAAAGAAATTTAATCACAAGCCTTATAAAAACATAATTAAATGGATTTACACAAATGGGTTAGCACTTTTAATTTTTTGAATAACTAGCTTACTTATTGTTCAGCTCTTATCTTTTGATGTTGATCTCAATGAATGTGCATTTGCTGAGAATGAATCTGATATTGTACAACAACTTAAGGAATTCAATGTCTGATTTAATCTTTTTAACTGATCATAATTATATTTTAGTCTATCTTCTAAACAGTCTTTAGATGACGTGGGTTGGACGATTGATTCTTTATTTATTCCATAATTCTTTACATCATTACTGTGATGATGTTGACTGTGGTCATCCTCTAAATTGACATTTGATAAATTATGATTATTACGTAAGGAATAGCTTGATATCGAAATATTACCAGGTGAATGAATTGAATCAACTCTAGATGACGACGACATGTTACATAAAATACCTTCATTTGAATAATATTCATAAAATGTTCTAGCTAAATTTCTGCCTAGTCGAGCATCTAAAAGATATTTTTGTTCAAAAATAAATGATGAATGATGGTTAAGGCAATGCTTGTCAATTACATGATAAATGAAACGAATCATCAAGTGAAAGATTATTAAAATAAACTAGATTTTATGTTAACTTGATTGGATATTATTCGTATTTGCAATCATTCTCAAATTTGCTATGAATTCTATCACGTCAACAACAACAAAAAAATAATTGTATAAAGTTATAACATTTCGGGGTCGATAAAATGCTCCATGAGGAATGAAATTACCATTCATTATTAATAAAAAACAATGTTCATCAAGCGGAAGTTTAAATTCATTTGGGAAGGTGCATCAATATTTCTAAGGAAAATGAAATAATCGAAAAACCCAGTGATACTAGACGAGTATTGCTGACTTGTCTCATAATACGATGCAACACTTATTATCTGATTATAAGGGTAGGAAGCTTTATGAGGAAAGGACGAAAAATTATGTTTATAGACCATGGGTATACATACATAATACTAGTAATCCGAACAAAGTTATGAACAGTGACTTTGGTCAGGTGGATAAAGCACTAACCCACAATAACCTGTCATACTTGTATTTCTTACTTCCGTATGGCCTTGAAACAGCATGTGATCTGTTTGGAGTCGCTAACCTGGTTATCATCAACTTCTATTTAATCAGTTAAATCCTTATTAGACTTATATATCTTGTACCTAGATTCGTCGATTCAAGTTTACTGCATCTTATTAGCATAATCAGTTGTGTTTATTGGTACAACTCCTGGATCGTATAAGGCTTCATGAGTCTTATTTACTTCACATAGTACACCTTTCATACTGCTACCAACTGCGTGAACATATTTACATGTATCTGCCAAACTTGTTGCATTGGAAGAACAATAAGAAGGGTCTAGATTCAATTTTGAGAACATGTCGACTGAATTTTCAGGAATCGGTATCCTTCCAGGAGGCCCACCTTGAAAAATGTCCATGTATCAGCCTGGTGCTCTATCTCAAAAGGGATGTCTTGAAAAGAGCTACTTAAAGACTCCAATCCGTTTGACTTCAAACATTCAAGAACGAGAACGTTATTTCCAGCAGTAGGTCTATGATCAAACTAAACAAAAATGGAGATAGTGGACAACCTTGACGGACACCACTTGAAGTTGAAAAATCAGATGACAGTTCGCCATAAGCTTTCACTGGACTAGTAGTGTTCGAGTAAAGAGCCTTCACAAGGTTTATGTACTTCTGAGGTACGCCTTTCAACGGCAGACACTGTCACAGAACCTCTCGGTCTACAGAGTCAAATGATGCTTTTAAGTCAAGAAAGACCATTATTGTCGGACGCCGATGAACCTGCCTGTGTTCTAGAACCTGACGAATGGCGAATATGTGGTCAATGCAGCCACGACCAGGTTTAAAGTCAGCCTGATTTTCTCGTGTTTGCCAGTTCACGAGTCTTTGTTAGGCGTCCGATAATCACTGAGACCAATTTCTTAGACGCCATATTAGGCAAACTAATCCCTCTATGGTTATCACAGGATGATTTTGACCCGTTCTTATATATTAGGACGATCAGTGATTGCGACCAGTCAGATGGGATAACGTCCAACTCACAGATTTGAGCTAAAATATTAGTCAACCTAATCGTTAAAATTAGACCACCATGCTTAAAGATCTCTGGAGCCAGCTACTCTTCCTCGTTTCAGAATAACTATAGCCTTTTGAACTTCAGCTAGAGTTGGGGGACCTACTTCAATGTTCCATTCATGCTGTTTGGGAATGATGGGTAGTTGTAGAGTAGCTGAAGGTAAGCTAAACTGATTCTTAAAGTGTCCCGCCCATCTTTCTAAACGTCTGAGCTGACAGCAGATCAGAGTGTTCTCTTTTTCCGAGATCGTTTCACACTTGACTTTTTAATTCCAGTTTCTTCATTAGTCTGAAAAGCTTTCTGGTGTTATGTACAGCCGTTGTCTTTTCCATCTCTTTACATGTTCAAAAAGAAACAGAAGTAAATCTTTCCATATTGTTTTAACATTACCCTTACTTTATTACATTCTTTCCCAAAATTATTTTTTTATTTAGGTTGAACCATTATCAATCCATTCAAATTCATATATTTATTTTTAACTGACTGACCTTAATTCATGTTATCATTAATCGCCACCAGCCTGTGTCTAACTGCTTCACTGCGCAATCAACTAGCTTTTTTAGCTCTGTGACCTTTAGTTGCAATCCCAATGTTCTAGAATTTTCTCTCGCACATTGTGTTTGTTTACAAAACTTCTTCCAATTAGCTAACTTTTCTGGGAACTTATCTCTATCATGACATACATACTAACCTCTAATCAACTTCAATCACACAAGTATGTTATCTCCTATGGTAATTTTGATTTTAAATCATAAGGGATTGTAAGTAACAGACGAGAACCCAATGAAATAAAATAAATTCTCATTATTCTGTTCAAATCTTTGTTCTTACTCTCTGGAAAATGAAACTTTACACCCGAAACATCTACAAGAAATACATATTTATCTCATATTAATAAATATTTATAGACAAGTAAATGAATATAGTGAAAATATGTTTAATAATTTAAAGGATACACTTTTCTTCAGTATACGGAATCATTTCATTGGTTAACATATTTGTGTAACTGTAAAATGAAACTTCTAATGTATAACAAATAGTGTGATCGTCCAGAATACCACCCAATGTGCTATAAGAAAGTAATAAAAAGCAGCATATATGTATATAATCACATTTACAAGCAAATATTTTATCACCTAACTAGGAAAGCACATAAAAAATAGTTTTAACAAATCAAATTACTACGATGGAGGTATACAATAACTATAGATTATTAATAATAGATATTCTTCTATAAAAATGTCAGTTATCCTCTTAAAACAATGATCTTAACCGAATCGCCATAAAATAAGACATGTTAGTAAACTCTCGCTTATATAACTTGTTAAAATATGTAGGAGATGAACGGACAGAAGAAAAAATTCATTGAAGTTGGATAATCACAATGAACGCTTAAATTCAATTAAAGAATGCTAGCTGATCAACTAGTAAACTGTCAAGCAGCTAATCAGTAATGGCAATTAATGATAAACTCAACGAGAAATCTGGTTACCATTAAACAGAAGGTTTATCAGAACGATAACCCACAGTTATGAATGGGATTGAAGAAGAAATCTCAAACATGGAGTGGTTATTCTTTAGTAAATTCGTTTATAGATGGTGGTAGTTTCCGAAACAGTGGTTTTATGGTGGCTTTCGATAGTTAAAATTGTAAGTCATCTCTTTAGTTATTAAATGTTGATACCTCTTTTACTATCTATAAATTGCAGTAAAAACTTAAATTTCTTACTCAGCTTTAAGTCACAAATATCATAGTAGTGTTTGGATTTGTATACTGTGATGCATCGTAACCTTGGGTTTAACTGCATAATCATGTGAGTTCCTTGTTTAAATAACAAATACACTTATAACCACTTATTCAACCTTCTAGAGCTCTGACTGAAGATTTGGAATCGTAGTAATGTGTGTGTAGTGTCAAGGGTTTGAACTCTGTCTGTAGCTCTCCTAGGTTTACTATCTATCATAGGCCTGGATAAAGGAGAAGGGTTGGTCATGAGGTCAGCGAACCCATCCTGTAGAAAACGACCTTGTTAAAAATCGCTAACCATGAAAAGTCACTTGAACTATGTCTTGGGAGTTGAAGGGTCTTCTAACAGAAGAATTATGACACCCCACGGTGAAAGCCGAAACTCTTAGAAAGCCACAAGGACGATACCCAATACCCATCCTGACAACCAGCGCAATAGTTAACATAAGTACTTGGAACGTTCGGACAATGTAAGAAACCGGGAGATCCAGTCAAATTGTTAAGGAAATTAGGAGATAAGACTTGGCGCTTCTCCGAATAAGTGAGACCCATTGGACACAAACTGGACAGAAAAGATTAGATTCGGGAGAGGTGTTGTTGCATTCTAGCATGAAGAAGGAAATGTTTTTCACACACAACGAGTTGTACTGATCCTATCCAAAGAAGCAGGAAAAGCACTCAGAATGGGGATCTCATAGATCCAGGGTCATCAAAGCATTCTCCAAAACGAAGGAAGAGAGGATTGCATAGAATGTTATGCTGTGCTATGCACCTAATAATGAAAACAATGAAGACGATAAAGATCGGTTTCATGAGAGTCTACATTTGATCGTATAGAAGTAGCCAGGGAAAGACCTTACCATCATGGTGGGAGACCTCAACGTCAAAGTTGGAATGGACAACACCGAGTATGAAGATATCATGGGATAACATGGACTGAGAGAAAGGAACAAGAATGATGGCAGATATGCAAATCAATGTGCCTTCAACAAAATGGTTACAGGCAGCATAATATTCCCCTATGAACACATACACAAAGCTACATAGGTTTCTCACCTGATCACACTACAGAGAACAAGATCGATTATATTTGCATCAATAAAATGTTCAGAAGGTCAATGGAAGAGGTGAGAACCAGGAGAGGAGCTGAGGCTAAAGAACCACTGGACAACTGTGGATACGGTATTATAAAGGTTCAATACAGTCTTCCTTCAAGATACTGACAAACTCAACGAATTCAAGATGGATCTCAATCACAGGTTCCAGTCCCTACAATATATGCTTAAATAAGTGAAACTAGTATGGGGAACAACTGGAAAGGGATTAAAGAAGCACCAACCTAAACGTACCAAAAGGTGCAGGATCACGAGAAGCACCATCATAAAGAATAGATTTCTATCGGGAACCTAACTAAGACTCGAGAAAGGAAGAACAGGTAGATAGGAACTAACAACAGTCGAACAAGAGCAGAGGAAACCAAGGCACAGACCGAACGCACAGAAGCAAACAAGTGAGTGAAGAAGAGCATTAAAGCCGACGAGCAGAAATACGTGGAAGACCACGTAATGCCAGAGGAAAAAGCTGACAGAGAAGAAAGTATGAGACAACTATATCATGCAACGAAGTAACTGACAGGCAAATATAGTAAACCAGAGTGATCAGTCAAGGACAAATAAGGCAAGTCAATCACTGAGATTCAAGAACAGTGGAATAGGTGAGCAAAGCATTTCGAAGTGCTCTTGAATACACCAGCTCCACTGAACCCACCAGATTTTGAGGCAACATACACAGACCTTCCTATAGATGTCACTCTACCAACGATCGAACAAATCATCATGGTCATCACACAAAATAAGAGTAGGAAATCAGACGAACCAAACAACATACCATCTGAAGCATTAAAGTCAGACATAAAAGAAACCGTAACGATGCTTCACATTCACAGACAGATGCATTCCAAGTGAGGGCCGGAGTCAAACAAGGCTGCTTACTTCCCCTCTTTCTCTTTTTTCTGGTGGTTAACTGGATTATGAAGACCTCTACATTTGAGGGGAAGCACGGTATACAACGGACAGCATGCATGCAGCCAGACAATTTGAACTTTTCAGATGACCTGGCCCGTCTACTCCATACGTACGAACGAATTCAGATGAAAACAGCTAGTGTAGCTGCAGCTTCTGAAGCGGTAGGTCATAACATTCGCAATAGAAACAAATCCTGAAATCCAATACGGAGAACACCAACGCAATCACATTTGATGGAGAAGCCCTGAAAGAGGTGGAAACTTTCACGTACCTGGTCAGTAGCATCATCGATAAACAAGGAAGACTCGATGCAGATGTTAAGTCACGGATTACTAAGATAGAGCGACATTCCCACAGTTGAAGAATATATGGAACTCAGAAAACTGTCAGCTAACGAACATCCAAACAGTCTTACTGTACGGAGCTGAAACTTGGAGAGCAACCAGAATCACCATCAGAAATGTACAGGTATTTATAAACAATTGTCTAAAAAACATATTCAAAGTATGTTGGCCGTAAACTATCAGCAACAGCCTACTGTGGGAGAGAACAAACCAACTTCCAGTTGGAGAGGAAATTAGGTAAAGACGTTGGAGGTCAGTAGGACATACAGTACGGAAACCACAAAACTGCATCATGAGGCAAGGCCCAACTTGTAGTCATAAAGGCAAAAGGAGAAGAGGCAAACCAAACAACAAATTGAGCCGAAAATGGGAGACAGACATTAAAACGATGAATCGCACTTGAAAACAACTAGAAGGAGAGCTCAGGTCAGAGTTGGTTGAAAAATCCTGGCGGACAGTATATGCTCTACGAGATGTAACATGCGTAAGTATCGAGGGTTTGACGAATACAATAACGGAATCAGAGGATTTACCATAAATGTAAAATACGATGGTGTAAACCTTTCCTTTAAAAATGAGTTACTGTATTCCGAAAGCTGTTTTTCGTATACAGCTGACTCAGTTATCATTTTTATCTAAACACTTTGAGTGCAATCAAAGAATAAAGTTTCAATTATAACAGTGTAAACAAAAACTGTTAATAATTTTCCGTAGGGATGTTGATACCCAATGATAATTCCCACGCGTCGATTCAATATCGCGACAAATAATAGGCCCAATTTATAGAGATTTCACAAGTTGAAATCATGAGCCAATTGAAGCTAGACCACCATGAAAAACCTGGATGCACTGGACGGCCGTTTCGTCCCAGTATAGAACTCCTCAGCAGTGCGCATCCACGAACCCGCCCCCTGCGGGATTCGAACCCAGGACCTACTGGCTTCGCGCGCGAGCACTTAACCATTAGACCACTGAGCCGGCATCCAACGGTGTTCGGTGGCGCAACTTCGTGGATTGGTTGAAGTTAGACATTAACACCGTTGGATGCCGGCTCAGTGGTCTAATGGTTAAGTGCTCGCGCGCGAAGCCAGTAGGTCCTGGGTTCGTATCCCGTGGGGGGCGGGTTCGTGGATGCGCACTGCTGAGGAGTCCCATACTAGGACGAAACGGCCGTCCAGTGCATCCAGGTTTTTCATGGTGGTCTAGCTTCAATTGGCTCATGATTTCAACTTGTGAAATTTCTAAAAATCTCCACAAAACCCATTCTGATAATAATTATAGAGATTTCTTGAACGGGAAGTGTTTTATGTAACCATTTCCTATAGATCTTAGAATTAATCAAAATATGTATCGATAGAAATGTAGGTAATCTAAGTGACCCAGTATTTCAGTAAATTCAGTTTGAGTTTAGATGATTAAAAGTAGTTAGTTGAGATTTAGGGACCATGATTTTGTATATTCATGTCGAACAAACTCATTATTTCATTGAAACTCCGAATCTTATCGCTTATAGCTGTGATTGAAAACATTATTAATAAACTGATAAGTCACAAACAATATCGGTGAATGAAGTGAACCACAGTATCTGGTTTCCTAGATTTACAACCGTTATGAAATTATTATGTCAAGAAAGGATGAAAACGTAACACTGATCACTATGCAATCATGCAGCTGACCGCTATATCAACATTACAAAATGCCAATCCAAATGTCAGACGCAAAAGCTTTCGTCAAGGTGTGAATAAGTTTCACAAAATAATATCAGGAAATATAAAATTTAGGTCCAGATTAATCTAATTATTGGTTTTAATCAACTTACCTGTAAAAAAATTTAACGATCTAATCACATAAAATTTCTTAGTCACTTTTATTTTATATTATTTTCTAAAGAATCGTTAAATATTTTGCACCGTTTTTTAAGTTTCTCACAGTTAAAATTAGTTTCTGATACTTATTTATGAGTGAATCAGATTAAAAACCACAAGCAAACTCAAATACTGGAAGAAAAATTGACTGTTTTATAATGCAAACAGATATCATGATACATAAAAAAATACTTACCGTCGACCAGTTCCAGCTTTTAAAGTATCTTTATTGAAATTTGTCTGTGGTAAACTAAAGTCTTCAGCAAACTGACTTAACAAACTTGGAAATCTAGCTTGCCTTTCTGCTCGTTTTTCATCTTCATATATATTTCCATACATAAATCCATTCATTAGTGTAGAGTGTGCATGTATATCAATGAAGAAATTCACATCGATGAACTAGGTAAAGGTTAAGATAAATTCAAACACAGAACTATGAACTAGTAATCTTTTCATATAAAATACATTTTCATCACATGCTAATATCAGCTGAGAAACGATTTAAAACCACGGGGTAATAAACCCAAAGGACAATAGTTACAACCTATATAGGGTCAAGGGTGAACACTGCTGAGAAGTACTAAAGTATAACAAAACAAATGTCTAGCTTTTTCTACTTTTCAATGATTCCCCAGGTGATGCTAGCCCATGAAGAAAATCAATCGAAAATCGACTTTATTTTATTTTGTTTAAAATGGATGAAAGAAATTAATAGAAAACCTTGAGTCTAAGTTTCTTGTTATTGCATATGTAACAAACGGAAAATGAACTAACTTTAGCCTCATTGCAAGTACAAAAGTTTCTAAAAAGTTTCTAACTTACTGGATTATTGTCCAAATTCATTAACAATTGTTTTGTAGCATAAATAGTAGGATGTGCCCATAAGGATGGAGACTGCCATTGTCTATTTAAATCGAATCCCATTAAAGATGATCTAAAGATACCGAGAATTAAACTGTTTCTTAGACTAAGAAAAAAACCCTTTTAAGACGTTTTTATTGTCATTATTTATCATATCGGTCTAGAGTGGTGGAGTATGGCACACATTTTATAGTTGTTGTAGCATGCAGAAAAAGGAGACTAAAATTAAAATGTGAACCACATGCAACTATCATTAATCGTTACTAAAATTAGACATTCGCTTTAATGAATATTATGAACAATGATTCAACTTACAGTTAACAAATAATTTCAGGACATCAAAATAACCTTGATTACGATTATAGACTGTAAATTCATTAACTATAGGTCTACATTTGTAAATTCGTTAATAAAGTTTCATCGTAGTACAAATTTAATATTTGTAAACGTTGGCAAATGTGAATAAAAAGTATCACGGTGCGGTATAGCCATACATCTTAGATTTTTACTAAAAACTTCAACATTTTACCTTATTGCTCTAATTTAACATAACCTCATGTATTCCACTCATTGTTGCTCTGATTCTTTTTCTAAAACATCTATTTTATATATATATATATATATATATATATATATATATATATATATATATATATATATATTTGTAATTTGTTTATAAATTACACTAAAGAAATACTATGGTAAGTTTGGTGTTGAATCGAATACGTATCCACTATTAACGAGTTTGTCATAAATTCCTCTTCACCTTTACCATGGAATAAATCAATCTTCAGGAGTACTTCTTCTCATTACAAGCTAGGACCATTCAGAGTCAAACAAGTCAGAGATGAAACAGTTACTCAACAATGACATTGAATAGGAACCACGAAGAAATATACCATTGATTTACTGGACCTGAATATTCAAATCACTTGCTTCCAACTTATCGACTCCGTGGTAAAGCAATAATAATTATGAAACCCAATTTCAAGTTTATATTGGGTTGTAGATGCACGGTAGTGAGCACCCACACCCTTAAAAATCTAGGGCTGATGAGGTTGATAATGCTCCTTGATTTTAAGTAATCCTTGAAACGATGCTTGTTTGTGATTTGGATCTTCTTCTAAATAAACAAAACTCTCTAAAACACCCACCTACTTTTAAAGTGTATCTTTAACCAAAAATTCAGCTGTAACAAGAAGTCGAAACAGAGATTGTTGTTTCACTTAAGTTTACTTTCAGTTTTAGGACTATAAGGAAAAAATATTTATTCGTAATTAATGCATTTGACTAATAAGTACTCTAATGATTAGATATTTTCATACCTAATTCGACATTTCTAGAAAATATCGTTATTATGTGGATTATACGAAACTTATATCAGTTCATTTTCTCCTTGCTTCATTAGTATTGTTGAGGTTTTTATTTTGACTCCACTAAAAAAAAATGCCTCTCACCTTTAATGTTGACCTTTTTCCAGGTTTTTTTGCTAATTCTTATCATATCTAGGTAATAAATACTTAACTAGAGTTAATCTATTTTGTGTTTATCTAATTAGTTGCAAGAAAGTCTTACAGAAAGACATTTGAAAAGTAAGCAAAATTTAATTATTGTAAAACTAAACAGAACAGAGTTATTTTGCTAGAAGTTAAAATATCTACTATCAATAAACTTACTGTAAAGTGTATTACTAGAGTGAGATGAAATCGGACAAGATATTGTTAATAATGCGGCAAACAAAACAGAACTTACCTATAATTTCCCAAATAAACACCATCTGGATTTAACATTGGAACAATTTTAAAAATTAAATGTTCACGTAATTGTTGAGCTATCGAATGATTACTAACCATGAAATCAATAAATCCTATAATATTTTGACGAAAAACACAAGTATACCTATACTGAGATCATCTTGTACTACAACGAAATAATTCAGTTTTGATGTAAAACGAAGGCAATCATCTAACACAGAGATTATGTACATGTCTACCTGAAAGGTGGTAAGTTATATCTATTGTATAAGGACTGGTAAAATCTTAAAATTGTGACTATTAAACTAAATGAAGCAGGCTAAAGCTGTCTAACCTCAAGTTTATTAACCAGGTACACATGACCCAAAAGAGATTTCTCATTAATTATTACCTCTGAGAAAAATAAGTTACAAATACGGACAACAGATTGTAAGATATAGCATGTTTTAGCAATAATTATAACTTATAGGCCAAACATTTCAAATTTAAGAAATGCTCTTCAAAAAAGGTGAATATTCTCTATGGGGATGTTTTGATTCAGTGAATTATTGGATTACATAATACGAAGTCTAGTTTTTCGAGCACACCAAATATGAGCACAGATAAGGTGCATTTATTCCATCAAGTAATCTATAATGGTACTGATCAGTGTATCATACGTAATCCAACTGAAGAGGCATGGGGAAATCTCAGTTGTTTTGGGAAACTGGCTTACTACTTCTGACGCCATGAGATACATTCGACCACATAGAGACCACAAAACGATTTCATTTTCATTTTCTCAAATACTTTTATTTTATTTTTATTTGCGTTAATCCAGCTGTTTTTTCCACAATATCCGCGGTGACAATATTTATCACAAAGCTAAGCACAAGTGACTTAATCGTACATTAAACAGTTGTTCCCATAACAGAAGGCAACCATGTGAAATAACCGACATGTAATCTATACGACCGTAAAAAATTGTAATCTTAAGTTTGAATAAGGATGTTTGGTTTTGCTAAAACTTCATTGATAGTGTGTTTTCAGAAGTAGTAGTTTATGGCTGGCAGTAGCATTAAGGAAGCGCGTCTTGTCCAATTTGAAGTGCTTTAGATGAATGTATTTGCATTTCAGTGTTAATTATCACACTGAAAATAGAATTCAGTAATTTTCGCGACAGTGATCAAAATAAGATCTTGAATATCAGCAACGGGATAACTCAAGCTCCTTGTAGTAATAATACAATCACAAGTATTAGTTTCTGTCTGTTCTTTTATTTATTTATTTACCCCCATAATTTATTCATCGGTTTGCTAATTTTATTGAGATATCTAAAATCACTATGCCAGAGTTATTGTATGATTCTGAGAGTATTCGAGAGATTAATGTTGATGAAAACAGAAAAATAGCCTTTATGCTAAATCTCATTGGAGGTTAATTAATATTTACATGGTAATTAGTAACTTGTGCACGAAATAACCATGATATTCACGAAACGCTGCTTCAATTACTAGCTTTCAAAAAGAAATAGTAACATTTGAAGTAATACAGGTAGTTGTGGAATCTTAACCTATAATATTCAGCATTGAGTCGTTAAGAACTAACTACTTGTGTGTTTCTTTGTACAAAATGAGCAGGATTTTCATTAATACAGTTTAAAGACTAGATAATTTGACAGTGGTCGTTCTGTAGTCACTAATTAATTTTATTGAACTCCATTGATGTCATTTGTACAAGATAAAGATTTCGTTTAAGTTGATTCTTAACTAAAGTAATTAAATCTAATATCAGTGAAACCTAACTTTGAGGAATATATTTTATACGTCAAACAAGCAACCATTACCAATTTGGAATCTAATCAAAATAAAGTATAAAATCTATTTAACAATACATGAAAATGATCCAACTAAAAACAGTACATCTGATTACCTTGGCAAACATAAGATGATGGTGTTTCACCAGGATGAACACGAGCGGTCACAAATATCACACGTTTCTTGTCAGCCGTTTTATTGAGATTACTAGGATGAGTAATTGTTATAAGATCTAGACGTCTTTGTTGCTTGTAAAATGGAAATAAGTTGCGAATATGAACATAAGAAATTAAAATCATAGTATTTTATGGTATATATATGGTAAATAATCCTGACTCAAACACAAGCAACTCTGTTGAAGTTCGATCAGTTATATTGGATTTATAACAAATGACAACTTACTCGACCAGCTTGTTTTAAAATTCAATTTCATCAGTGGCACTTTGGCTAGGTGAAAAATACTAGGTTTGTTTGTAAAGCTTTAAGTCCAGATAATTAACCAGTCATTGGGGTTGTGGGCTGATAATGACCAGTTTACAGAATACGTATCACCAATGGACTTCACCATGATCAAAATTCATTTTGCTACTTCTAGTTTGATACTAATTAGTACATAAAGTGTTGTATGGAACAAACTGATCTTCTACACCAATCTAGGGTGTCATAAAAAAGTGTTACATAGTATAGTGATAACCATCTAAAATCCAGTTAGTTGCATTATTCTGTGTCATTATAATACTACGTGTTTAATTTCTCGCTAATGAAAGAATATGAATTAACGAACGGCACAAAACGATAAATGGTGTTATACAAATATGTAGGGCAGTACATTGATCTCATAATGATAAAGGTGATAAAAAACAATCGAAAAGGAGTTTGGCTGTTCTTATCTCTAAAGCTAATCTAACTATTTGCTTATAACTTAGAAGGCTACAAAATAGGGTTAAGATAAAGTAATTAATTTTCTATTCTAATCGCAAAATATAATAAAATATCACGCGAAATATTATAAGTAATTTTAAAGAATCACTTGGAAAAGCACATTAATTTCCCCCTTCCATAGTATGGATTAGGTTTCCCGTTTGATCTATACGTGCGAAATATCAATATTTATACTATTGAATAACAAGTCAATGCACAATGCTCCGTTCAACATTTTGCACAAATCTCATTTGGTTGACGTTTGAATTTACGGTAGTTTCAAATAACTGTTGGATTCAGAAGGAAGACTTGCTTTTCATTATAATTGGAAGTAATGACTTGTTGAGAGAACTGATACCTGATGAACAAGAGTGGGTCGTAATGTTTAGTCAATCTATGTAAGAATAACAGACTAAAAATAAAGCAACTAATGTGATGTTGAGACAGTCAATATTCCTGATATTTTAATTAAAAACAAAATCTCTCCCTAAGTTTAAAGCTGGTATAAAAGTATCCATAGTGATTTCATTTTAAATGCGTATTATACGAGTATGATTTCAATAAATACGGAAGCCTAGTATATATTGGGTTTTGTAAATAAAATCTATTCAAAAATTTGGATATTTAAGGTTATTCAATTTAATTAGAAACAAAAATTGTCTCATTACACCAACTGCCTAAGATAAGATTTAGTTGCTTCATTTCAATAAACAAGTCACAGTCCAATAACCAAACATTACTTGTTTTCCGTTATGAGTTTACTATGTCGGCAGAATTTTCTATTTGACAGATTTCTAGAAAGAACGGGCAGTGGACAAAGACGATATCTATTTCTGTATAGAGTATCCTTTCTAATAACAATCAAATTAACAGACAACCATTCATCAGCAAAATACGATATTCAAACTGAATCAAAAATGTGTGAAATACTACCATTAGAATGACTAACAGTCAGTGCCTACAGGTTTTAGTATGTGCGACAGTTTGCCTTTAGTAAAATGTTCAGTATAAGACTTTTAGGGAATGTTTACCCTCAAATATCATGTTTTGAATTGTCACAGAGACGCAATAGTTCGATAAAATAGCCAAATCACAGCATTGACACAGTTATCGAAGTCAGAGTATTTGATTCACATTAAAAAGTTAAGTGGGATCATTACTTAGTCATTATTCGGAAGAAATTTAATAGTATTGTTTTTTTACTGTTTTACGAAAAGTACTGTGTGGTTCCATAAGAATTTACTGTTCTACTAACGGAAAACAGCTCAGCTATACTATAGTTCGATGGTATAACTGTTACCAAACAAACCTATTTCATTAACGACGTATAAGTAGAATCACGGTTCCATTTTTATTCAAAAGTCACCCCTCTAAAATCTACCTCCTTTTATCTGAGAATATAAAAACTTCTCACATCTCCATACTTAAACACATGAATGTGACCAACAGAGAAACAAGATATAATGGTAGCCACGCAACAAAAATCTCTGAATAAAGTATTATCTCTGAAAAGGCTACTCACTCAAATAACAATACATATTAAAAGCTCTAAAGACAGTACAGTAACTGGGTGATAAGACTGTAAAGCTGCATCACATTTACTGTCTAAATTCATATATAGCAAATCTTAACGAAAAGATATATGACTCCAGCCATTTCGCGAGAATTCAGCAAAGCATATTACGAGTTGTCTTAGAACTAATTAGTCTTATCGCTTAAAAGTAAGTGTACCTACTACTGTCAGGCCCAAAAGTTCTCTCTTGAAATGGGCATAATGTTTAGTTTCTAGTATCTCTAAGTACGTCTGTAGTCTGCTGTAAGTATACGGATAACAGTACGCGAATTGATAGACGTCCTCTTCACAATCAAAAGAAAATGCGAAAGACATAACGTATTTTTTCTTTTGTTCAGGGGATCGGTAGTAGAAAACACATTTTTGTGGAATGCGAGACCTGAGTTAGGAATATAACGGAAAACAATACCTACCACGAAGGACGGCTAGACGATTTAACAACTGGGGACATACCTTCTCGATATAAAGACTTTGTCTTGCTAAAATTTACCACATTGAAAATTACTCTCTGATTATTAGTGACAGACTATGAGTATTACCTGTTCATATTTAGTGTTTTCCACTGTGAAATTAAACCATACTCTGAATCGTGCATTGCATGTATCCGGACGTATAAATAAATCATACTCGTATTCACTGACGTACACAACCTTTCCAAGATTTCCTTAGTGATAATTAGGAAAGGCGAATGAAGTACCACTTTCGAAACATGCGTCGAAGATTAGATGTCCTTTTCGTAATTTTCCAGTGTATCCATTAGGTATAACTAGTAATTTACTCACATTCCCCACAACGCTATCGCTGATACCATCAGAATCACTTCCTGCAGATTCATTCCGGTCTACAAAAGCACGTCCAAATACATCTTCATGAAAGACGTTTGTTTTGCACTCATCTGACATATTAGTTACATTAACTACACAAACAAAAAGTAGAGTAGACAAACAATTTTCCGAGCCCATTTTCAAACTTTTCTTCGATCGGAATAACCAGATAACAAAAGTGGAATAGAGTGAGATAAAACATTTTCAAGCAATCAAGTTGCAGAATAAACAATAATAATGGAAACGTGGTAAAATCAATCAGATTTTGATTGTGAGTAAACAATTATTGGGGACTATCAAAACACATATGACGATGAATGTAGCAATACGAGGTATCTTTTCGACAAGCTAGTGTAAATCATATTGTAGGGCCAGTGAAATTCCACTGAGCCCTAGCCAAATCATACTGCCGTTGGGTCATTGAATGTCGAACAAACCATCGATCCTCGTCAAGGTCAAGGACAACCAACGCGAATCAGTTAATCGTACGCCATGAACTGGCCGATGTGGCGGTGGTCTTACTTTCGCTTGTATCTACTTTAACTAATATATTTCTGTAATAACGTCCTCTGTGTTGTATGGTCTTCAAAGCATCTATGGTACCTTGATACATCAATGAGCTAGTCCACGTAAGGTGCAGACCTCGAGATGTAACTTCGACGTTAGCTGGTTCGTCACGCCATTCCAGTTTAACTCGAGTGAACTCCCGGTCATTTCGACATTGATCATCTACGTTGGTGATCTACAATCTGATCTCTTCATGCCTTCCTAATGGTGTTAGGGTACGATTTTTCGTTTCCGATGACGTTCAAAAACATAATCTAGCTACTCGGCAGAATTAGTCAAAGTGAATTCCATTGTTAGCAGTGGGTTAACTTATCCTGAGCATAAGCGACTTGGTCTGTCTCAATAAAGTAGGTTTTCTGGTGCTCCTTACTACTATATGTTTGGCAGGAACTGGTTAGTGGTAGCAGAAAAGTTTTAAAATCAGAATGAGGATGAGAGAAGTGAAGACCATTGTTAAGGAAAGTAAACAAATTAGTCGAAAAAGCGAGTGAATGGAAAAAATGTCAAAGCATACTTATAGACATTGGTGGCGCCGAGCTAAATGTGCAGCATAGATGCACGATTGTGATAAACATAATATTGAATAAGAATGTCAGATAAGTTTTGGGCCGTGTCTACATCTTCCGTGCAGTTTGGACTAGCATCTATGCTCCCTGCATGGTCGAATATAGACCACTTGATGTTTAAATAACTGGAAGAGAGTGACTACAGATAACACAGATTTTCTATGTTCTACGAAGTTCGACGTTTTGGATAAATCAAATATTAATTCGTTTTCCGACTTTCGAGGTTCAAGTGAATCCTTTTTCCCTTTTGTGGGTTTCCAGGTTCTGACATTATCAGTGCAAATGAGAACTGGCGATCTGATTTAATACACTTAATCGTCTGAGCAAAGCATAAGCAGTAGAAGTCTTAAAATAGTTTTAGTATGGAAGCAAAGGTATAACGTATTCATGTTAGGTAGCTATCATGCTGGCTATGTCATGAAACGTTGAAGGATTAGTATGCACAAACTTTAAAATGTGGAGCAAAAAACAAGTTCAAAAAGACAAAAGTTAAATCAACCTTTGAAAGTGAGTACTGCATCAAGTGAAGAGCAAACCTGAAAGGATCTAAGACTAGTATCTTCCTGGATTTTGTTATAGCTGACCGCAGTAAAAGAAAGCCTGTGAAAATCACTAGTCATCGTCGAATCGGGAACAAAAATATGAAACTAAAAAACCTCTAACCAGTTAAAGTTTGGAGTGAAGCGATTTCCGAACCACTTTTGATTGCAAAGGACAGCACTTCACTTCACTAAATGCTTGTTATGCAAATTTTCTCAGCCTACTAGCTTAGGAATATGGGGTGTATAAGAACATGTCTTGCGTCAGAAACAAGTGGTTGTGAATTTCAGCCAGTGTTTTGTGATACAGTAGGACTGACGTGCTAAGCCATATAAACAGTAGTGTCATCTTGTACCTAAAATATATCTCAACCATCTTTGCTTCTTAATCAGTGACGCATAACTCAATAACATGAAAATTAGTTATATGCTGACCAAATTATGAAGGACGACATATCGAACTAGTTGCGGTGTGCCGTAGCCTTGAATATATGGCAAATAATTTTCTCCGAAATCAACTTCAACAATACTCATACACTGATAAAACTCTAATGGTAGATGGCTTCAATGTACTATCTGTGAACTGCACCAACTTAGAGATGCGTTCGCTGGAAAACGCCTTTACCACTTTGTAAACCATAATCATACTAGCTTTATTTCAACACTTCGTAGAATTTATCAGATACTAAAAACAGCACTATTCATCTGTCCATGACTAAATCTTCACTCGTGGGGTTGATATTGGTCAAGTACTTTACACCAATAAGAAGATAACGGCCTCAAGGTCATCGTATTCAGGCTGACTGTTGACATAGCCAACCAAGTGGACCCACTGGGTCTTTCCAAAATACGTAAGGAAGACATAAAGCTAATCAGCATACGAGCTCCACTGATGACTAAGAAATCAATTCGGAACCATTAGTTGAAGACTCACAGAAACGGAACGGCCAAATTCGACGGCTATGGATCAAGCGACATCCTACCGTCAAGACAAGAATGTCTTCACGAAAGTTTGCCGTTTTTTACTACACGCTCCATGTTCCTCCTTTTTTACATCGACTGGTAGTTTGGTTTCTCATGTTTGCTTGATGAATGTTTCAGATGGGTAACAAGATTTTTTATCAAATTTACCACCGACGAGGGAATACGGAAATGAATCTTACAGAGGAAGGAGTCCTTGAGCAGAGATTGATCCAAACTCGAACATAATAAATTGGTTTACCTCACTCTAGTATGCAACCGTCACTCTATGGGTTCAAAGATGTCATTATCTGTCCGAAAATGGAACTCCATACAAACTGTGATCTCGGAGAGCGTGTGGTGGCATCGGGCTCTAGCCACACAATCCTCGAAGTTGAACAGGAGACACCGGGTTAAAAAGATATTCAACATTTACCTCAGAGAAAAACCCAACGATAGAGTAGGTTGGAAAAATGAGTTGAGTTAATTCGAATTCATCAGATGGCATGTCTCGGCCTTGCAGGCGTGATCATTGTTTAGTGTTGTTATATACCTTCTATTAATACTTAATATACTGTTCTGTAATTAGCCTAAGTGCGTTCAATATCACATATTGATGATTGCTGCGAATAGATGAGTCAATATAGACAACGATGTGACTTCCACGTAAGATGTCATAGATCAGGCAGTTACATCATGACAAATCTGCAATTTTAGGACTACGTTTGTTATTATTGCGGTACTGATATCACAGTAGACTATAATTCTACAAGCGCACATATAATAGTGGCTTCACGGTTTCATATTCCAGTCATGATTCTGTAAAGTGGAGAGGGGACAAACCGGAGCATCTTCATAGCAGATAGTTGATAAACCTAATATTTGTAATGAAGCGGGTTATTAACAGGCATCGAAATTAAACTATCATTGTGAAAATAACAGATGAACCAAAGGAACTAAATTCAGTACATGATGAACTATGGAGGTTAGATAGTTCTCAATTGATGGAAAAAAGGCGAATTTTTATGATGAGATAAACGTTTATTAATTTTGGAAAGTCAACAGGAACGTTAAGTGCTTAGATGCTCTAATAACTTCACAATTAAAGTTATTTTCAATTAATTATTTTGGTTTTATTGTTGTTGGGAGCCAGTCATTCAGTTTGCGCTTAATCGTCTGAATTCGCGTGTAATAGGTCGAACTAATAAAATTAGGAAACCAATAAATGATGGAAAGCGTGGTTCTAAGAAGCGTAAAACATGGGAGAACATTCATTGGTTTCCTCATCACCAACTAAAAAAAGCCTAATATAAACAAGATGTCCTACTTCCCAAATACGGGTGGAAATAAATCAATGTTTGCTGCTTAGTAACTATACCCTCCCTCCGTTTTTGATGTTAAGCTCATTTAAAGTGATGTCTGTATGTTGCACCCATTAGAAACCTCTTTCTTCACGCGCACCGCATACAAGCATATTGAGCAGTTAAAGCTAGCAAGCCGTAGATAGATATGATACTTAAGAGTATTTGGATTATAGTATGAACTAAGAACCCCAGAAATAACTCAAATGAATCAAGAAGTACTAGGTAAGCATGAACGAGTGCACTGCATTTGGAATTCTAAATCAAGCATTCAGCAAGTACTAAGGAATCATTAGTTCATTCAAACACCACATCCGCCACAGCTTAAGTAGGAATATAAGTGTCTGTAATCGATTGTACGCCTTCTTAAGTTCATCCTATGTCTGTCCGAAAGTGTTGGATAAAAACTCTTTATTATCTAGATTGTGTTCATTAGTATTGGAATTAACAACCGAAAGTGGAACAGACTCACTTGGTTCCTGGGATTGTATACAATCGCCATGTCGGCTGTTTACCGAAACCACTATTTAGAATTTAAAGCACAAATTTCCCAACAATATCCCCCCACGAAATAATGTTGGATCTTTATATCCCCAATTTGTAGATAATGTGTCTTCATTTAAAACATATTTCTCACATTGTTTAGAGTATACATTTGAAGTGAATTTGTGATAAGGATGAACAGCAGTTGATATGAAATCATCCGAATTGTAATCAAAATCGAGATCATTTAGTGCTCGTGCTTCGCATTGGAAAAGTTTCCCACAATAAACAAATGCATTATGAGGACAAATAATACTTGATATGACATCAAGATTTGACTCTTCTGAAAGGGTTTCCTCAAATTTATTAAGAATGTCATTGCAGAGTAGTGGATCATTAGAAAAACCAGCATTTATCAAAACTACATCAAGTTTTCAATCATGACTAGGTTTATTCAACATATTTTCATAAGATTTGCAAGGAATTTCGTCAGAAATAAGTGAATCACTGGGAAAAACCATATCTGGCACAATAACATGAGAAATCTGATAAGTCGATTGATTAGAAACTTTTGTCTCGCATGGATTCTGAGTTTCATTCAACTCTGAACTGCTATATGACTCAACACTATTTTCGAAATCGTTGATAAAGATAGATGATCA